GGGTTCCATTTTCAGAAGTCGTTCCTACCAAGTGTTACTGCAAATTTAACATTTGGCTTTAAATGAGAGGAGACAGGGGAGCAGCAATTGTTGAGTACTTATTGAGTATCCAGATCTTTATATAATCTCACTTATGCCTTCAGAACAAGCTTGAGACGTAGCTATTATTACTATGCCTTTTTTTAAAACAAATGAGAATCTATTGGTTAAATTACTTGCCCAAAATCTTTAATAAATGGAAGAGGTAGAATTCAAATGTTCTTCTTTTCACCTCCAAAACCTCTAATCTTTGCCTTAGAGTAGGGTGTCCTTTGGAGGTCCTTCAGATGACCTGTTGACTGATAATAGTGTGTGACAGTGACATGAATGCATGGTTCCTGAATGAGGTTTGTTTCACAGAGGAGAGAGAAAATAATGAGGGAGAAGTACAGGTTAGTTTTATTACTTTTATTATTGGGAATTTGTTGCTTTGATTTGATGGGATTGGATAGACTGGTTTTACCAGGTCCCTCCTGGTTTCTTCACACTCTCTCTCCCAGGTTGGAAGCTAGGAAGCCCTGTCTCCACCTGCCATGCCGTTTATTTTCTGTCCCCTTCTCTTGTCTATGAAAATTGAGGTGTGTGAATATGAGTGGGGGTAAGAAGCAGGTGGGCTTGTGTTCTGCTTTGTGTTCTTTAATCCCATGGGAAGGGTTTACATGAGTCTGAAATGTTAGAAGGCTGCCACTTTGGGAATGTATGCGGCTGCTTTGCTTGAACTCCAGTGGAGGAAGACAAGGCCTTTGGGAAGAACACTGTGGGAATATAGACACCAGAATTACAGGGAAGCATCCTTAAAGGAGTCCAGGTGCCAGAGACAGTCCGGCTGGCTTAGGTGCATTCTGTAACTGTAGGCAATGTGCACAGGCTGGATGTATAGTTAGGCTTTTAAGTATTAAAAAAATTCTTTACTAGCAGGTCAAATTAATTGATCCTCTCTTCTAAAGCAATGTTTACTTATATATTGTTTTTATTAAAATGCTTCTGTAAAGTTAAAATCACAGCACTTAAAAACAAGCAATCATGTCTCTTTAAGGATCGGATTTGGGCTTTAGTATATGGCAGCTTATTAACTGAGTGGCATGGTTGTGATAAATAAGGCCTGAATCCAAATGAGGTATGTGCAGTCTTTTGTTCCTTAGAATGGTCTACTACTTAGTAAATAAATGAATGTTTTAAATTTACAGGTAAAAATGGAAAAGGCAGCTAAGATGAAAGGAAAATCTCCATTGCCATCAACTACAAAACCTTCATGAAGGCTGTTGGACAGCTTAAAACCATCAGGCAAATATGTCTTTCTGCTCATTTAAATGAAATAATAGAGTTTATCTTCTCTCAAATTATTTACTTTTTAATTATGTAAATATGTCTTTGGTTGTTTTGTTCATTTATTGAAAGGAGAAATTGACTTATATTATTTTTATTAAAATAATGATTTAGTACTTTGTATATACTTTTTCTCTCGGGTAGAGAATTTAGGATATTCTCATAGAAGTCAAACTCTGAAAATATTTATTTTTAGTGTATTATAAATTAAATTTTTAGTCTATTATAATTTAACTTTCCCAGCCTACTTAACAAATTAAAGATGGTATCAATGTTTTTTAACAAACATGTCACTTTCTCATTCAAAATTGTAAGTTAAAATCATTAATTTTTTCTTTTACAAGTTTTGGAAGGTCGATTTATATTTTTAAATAAAAAAACTGCACTTTAGAATTATGCAATAATTTTCTAGAGTTATCCACTGATTTTTTTTACACTGGTAACTAACTATCTGCTATATAAAGAAAGAGAAAGCAAAGGCACAAAGTACACAGAGGGCTGATTCTGTAGATGGCAAGATCACTGAGGGTCCAACTGCATGTTCTAGGGCCAGGCCAGAAAGTCATACCAGACAGGAGAGAACCAAGAAGCAGAGTCTATGTATGCAGTTGACACCTTGGATTTGTGTCAACTAAAAGGAGACTTTGGAAACTGTAGTGGCACCCCCTTTCTCCATAGAAAATCTTAACTGGGTTTCTCCAGAAATCTTCATCATGCTTCATCAAAAGAGTTCAATGAGATAAACTTCCTATTTTCCTGTTGCCCTAATTTACTTGGCCCATAGCCTGGAAGAAATCTACACTCCAGGTACTGTACACCCCCTTACTAGTTTTTCACAAACATGTATCCAGTATAGTAGTTTGCAGAAATGTGTAAACAAGGCCTCCGGCCTTGAGCTGGGGCTCAGAGAAGTCTACATTTCTAAGATAAGAGAAGTTACCAACTGGCTGGCAGGGGGAGGGAAGAAGGGGAGAAGAAGCTCTCCCCTTCTCAAGTGTTGTCCTTGAAGGGTTAACTTGCCCAAAACAGTGAAAGAAAAGCTGCTTTTATGGGAACTTCTGCAGACTGTGAACTTCTGAGCCCCTCCCCTTACATGCTAGGTATAAAATTCTGAAACTACCTGAACTAGTGGTTCACAGGATTGAAAAAAATTGAAACTACCTCAACTAGTGGTTCAGGAAACAGTTTTCTTTGGCTATAGCCAAAGAAAACTGTTTCCTGCTGTCTTTGGTGCCTTGCCTTGCCTGTCCCTACAACAAAATGGAGCCTTGGTTGGTGGCTAGAGTTGGTATTTGGGGATGCTGAGTGACATTTATGGCAATGGAAGCTAGGAGCAATACCAGGGAACTTAGATGGATCCAGGTTTGTGTGCAGACTCCATCATTATCTGTGTGTGTCTCTGGGCACTGCATATGGTGTTCTATACCTCTTTCCTTATGAAATGAGATGATGATACTAGTATCTCCAACTATTCTGGAGTGGTGAG